CAAGTTGGAGGAGACTGTCCTTCAGCACAAGTCAGCTCTTCCCCTGACACTGGAGAGCAATTTATGCTTGATGTTAAATTGTGTGTACTCAGTCATTCAGTCGTGTCTGACTCTTTGCAGACTGTAGCCTGCCAGGCTCCTCTGTTCATGGGATTCTTTAGGCAAGAATACTGGTGTGGGTTGCCATGCCCACCTCCAGGGGATCTTCCTGACCCAGAGATCAAAGCCGAGTCTCCCACATTGGCAGGCAGTTCTTTACCACTGAGCCACCGGGGAAGCATATGGAGGGGGTTTGGTGGATACATAGTGCAGATACACAAGGCGCAGTGCCTGAAGAGAGGCAGCCAAAGGGCAGAGAAGATTTTCTATATTTAAATTTGTCTTGTCTTGCCATAAAATATGAGTTTTATTTCACACAAGCAATTTGATTTTGATTTTGAGCTCATAACACACCTAAGGCATAAGCAGTATAAGAAGCCCCATCCTGTTTTACAGACAACAAAGCTGGAACCCAAAAGGTTGAAGGCTTTAAGATCAAACTACAAGAAAATGGCCAGTCCAGACTTCCTGGGAAGATGCCTTTTCATTAAGCTGCATGGCTTTTCATGATGTTCCTTTGAGTGAGAGCCATTAAAACTTTTTAAATCGAGTTCATCTAAAACAAACCCGAAGTTCATTTGTGGGTGAACATCCCAAAACACATTTGATGAGAAAACTTAAACAATACTCAACTTGAAAGTTTTAATTGTAGGTCTGCATACTCACAGCTTCCCAGGTGAGTCAGTGGTAAATAACATCACCTGCCAATGCAGGAGATGCAAGAGATGTAGGTTCAATCCCCGAATCAGGAAGATCTCCTGTATAATGGGCTCCAGTTTCATCCATCAAAAAAAAAATAAAGAAAAGCTGTTGAGGGCAAAAAAAAAAAAAAAAAAAAGGAAGATCTCCTGGAGAAGGGCATGGCAACCCACTCCAGTATTCTTGCCTAGGAAATTCCATGGACAGAGTAGCCTGGTGGGTTCCAGTCTATGGGGTCACAAAGAGTCGGACACAACTGAGCACACACACATACTGCATACTCACATTTATCTTCGAAATTAAAGGGAGTCTTTTAGAGGTACGTCATTGTAGACAATATCTATGAAATAGTGGGTTCTTTCTTTCACTGAACAGAGGCTCACTGTGGTGGCTGTAGTGTGGTTCATTAAAAATAGCAGTAGCAGTAATGTTAGTAGTAGTAGTGATTATGATTATAGCTAATACTTTTTTAATGCTTTGGGTATACCAGGCACCACTCTGTTTTCCCTGGATTTTGCAAGTTCATCCTCATATTAATCTTTCAAGGTAATAAATACTGTTAATATACATATTTAATAAAGGGGAAACTGAGGCACAGAGAACATAATTAATTTTCCCATCTGTCACATCATTAGTAAATGATCAAGTCAGGATTCAAACCCAGCAGACTCATTCTGTTGCCCAAGCTCTTAAATACTCTTTCCCTTCCTCCTTTGTTTTCTCCTGTGTTGGATCAATATTCCTAAAAAGAGTTCTGACAAAGAAAAAAGAGAAGGTAAACATTAAAAAATTTGTATACTCAAAATTCTTGAATTCAACTTGTGCCATAATCCATGATCATTTTTTCTGCCTAAAATACTATGTAAATACAGAGCACATATTGTAGCAGCATCATATGAGGTTTGGATATGAAAATTTCTTTCCTGGTTGGTGACACAGTCTTATAAGAATTGAGCATTTTCTATTCTTCATAGAAAACACACACACACACACACACACACACACACACACACGCCTTCAAAATCATCTTTTTTTATAGGCTAGTGCTCATAGTAGTTTAAATTTCTTCATACACCATGATCACCACACAATTCCCTGTACCATTGTAAATGGAATTCAGAAGTAAAAAGAATGTGTGTGAATTCCATTGTATTTTTGAATTTACACTTCTTCCGTGGTCTGGCTTTGTCCCAGGACTGAATTTCACAGTAGTAGGCAAAGCTGGTCAAGGTCATTGTTCATGTTGTGAATGACACTTGGCTAAAGCCCAAGGTGATCAACATATTAATACCTTAGGAGGAAGGGAAACCAGTCTGTTCTGTCTTTAAGGGAGAAAAGGGTGCTGCCTTGAGAACCTTTGAGTTTAGATAAGGGCCTAAGCCCTGTCAATGTGAGTCAAGGTCAGTGGGATTTTTTTCTTTTTAATCCTACATCACAGCAAACCCTGAGCAGTACGTGGTGAAGGGCAGCGTTCAGTCAAGATTTCCTTAGGTATAAAAATTTAAATTTCAGTGTGAATACAAATTTGAAGCAAAATATATGGCCTGTGTATTCTTCTCTTTCAAGCGTTAAAGCATACCAAAAAACTCTGGTTTGAAGTCAACCATTACTGTTTTATTACCTTTTCCTATGAAGTCCCTAATTAAATTTTACCCTGCTATGTCCTTCAAGATTCTGGAAAATTCTAGCATACTTTTCAACTTCTATTTTTGGTATTTTTTATGATCTGTAGATTCAAACCAAAGAATATATCTCTTATATCTAAACTTTCAAGTAGCAACCCATGAGTGAGAGTTGACTTCCAAGTTTGACTTTCCTAGATAAAATAAATGATTTTAATTATACTTAGTAAAATTGTAATTAGTGTTTTATATTACTAAGTCTCTGGGAGGAGGAAATGCCAGCCCACTCCAGTATTCCTGCCTGAAAGATCCCATGGACAGAGGAGCCTGGTGGGCTACAGTCCAAAGGATTGCAAAGACTTAGACACGACTGAGCAACTAATAAGCATGCACACATTGCTAAATCTCTACAGATGTACTCTGATGTTGGTTCATAATAGATGTTTCTTTAGCATTTGCATTTTTCTTCAAAAGGAATTACTTTACAGAAAGTTAACTAAGTTATCAGTGTCAATTTTGTAGATTCTTATGCTGCCATTTAGAGATTTAATAGATGATTGATAATAAGCTCATCTTTTAAGGTCTGAATACCATCTTCTGGATAAGGGCCAATTGGTCTTTCATATCTTAGTGTACATTACTTTTAACACTGTAGATTAAAAGTGGCTTAAGTGAAGAGGGAAAGGGGAAAAGGTAATTTTGTACCATAGGAAATTTCTAGAAAGGCAAAGTCTTTGGTGTGTGTGTGTTTTACCTCAGAAAGGCTTTCGTTCAGTGTGAGGCTATAAAAGTGGAAAAGGAGTTTATAAGGAGAAACGGGTGTTCCACAAAGTTAAATTTTAATTACTTTGTAGTACAGTGAATATACTCTGTGCCTTTAAAAATTGTCTCTCTTTTTATAGCAAAACTTAGTGATACTGGCTTTAGTTGGTTGCTGCTAGTTCAGTTATCTGGGTCTATTTGCTGTTTGCAATAAATGCAATTATTTTGTTTGATTCTAGAATAGACTGTTCTAATTAACTGAGAAATGCCAGATTGTATACTGACTATACATTTTCAAGGAACAGGAGTCTACTCAAATATACTGAAACTATGCTGAAAGTACTAGCATTTGATTTTTATCATCATAAATCATATTAACATAAAAGAATGCATATTAAAACAAGAGCAATTACTCTTTTCACAAACAACACTTAGTTTCAATTTTCTCTTTTCCCCTTCCAGTTCATGTCAATGTACTTACAGATTTAAGAAATACAGTGAAGATAGAAATTGTGTTCTGTTTTTGTCCTTAGGATTTCTGTGCACATTTACTGCATATTAGACCATTGGGTTGATGTATTGTCTTATTTTAATGTCCTCTCATTAAACATTGAAATCGTTTCTCATTTTTTACTATCTTAGTTAATGAAGATCTTTATTCCTATAATGTATTTCTTTTAAATATTTTACTAGGACAAAATATTAAAATTAGATTATTGAGTCAATGGGAATAAGCATTTGTATTTCACTTGATATATATTGCCAAACTGTCCTAATAGATACCATTCCCAGAAATAGTATATGAATGTGCTAGTTTGGCTACAGTCTTTCCAGCTTTGGATTTTACTTTTTAAACTTAATTGGTGTCAAATTGTAATACTCTATGTTTTTCATTTATTGAAAAGTTGATTTTTTCTTTTTCTATAAAAATAGCTTTTATTCTTTCTCTTGTTTGAATTTCCTGTTACTGTTCCTTTGTCCATTTAACCCACCATGTTGGATTTGGTATAACTGTCTTAGTAATTTAATAATACTGTAATGTTTACAAGCCTCTCCCATGCATTTGAAGCAATGTATAATAGAAATATGGGGTTAATATGCATCCAAATGAGCCTATCATTGGTTTATTTCTTTCTTTGGTATATGATATTTCAAGTGATAAAATAGTGATACATGCTTTGATAATACTCAATTGTTAAGTGTAATAAAAGAAAGCATAGATCATTTGATTTAGAAAAATTTATATATTTAAATTTTTATTCTGATTTTAAAGTAGAATAGTTGTAAGTATTATGAATAAGCCGATCCTTTAAAGAAGTTCAAAATGAAAATAACAGCATTTTTTTTTTTTGAAGCTCAATATTTTCTGTATGCAACTTTAGTTGAGTGCCAGTAGATGGCACTAATTACATAAACAATTCAACAAGTTAATGATGGGGTGGGGGGATACATGTGCTATTTTTTTCTGTTCAAATTTTGGTATATGTCATATATTCAACAATGATTTGGGAGCTTATTTTTATAGTTTGTTCTCTCCCATGATAGAAAGACAATTAAGCCAAGTTTGTTTCCAATTAGTTGCTACTAAATTGAAATACCTGATATTGAGTATTGCTCAAGATGCTGCATTTGAAAACTTTTGTCATGAAATGTGGGTTAGCTTATACTGTCAAGATTGACTAAACCACACAGGGTCAGTGAAAAGCAGTCATGCAGACATACTCTGACCCAAGGATTCAGAAGTTACTTATGAGAAAGTCCAACTAGAGATTTCAGAGGAAAGTGACATTCATTCTCTTTTTCCATGTGCATCTATAGCAGTTGGCCAAAGACCTCCGCCAGTGGCAGATAAATGTAGATGTGGCAAATGACTTGGCACTGAAACTTCTACGGGATTATTCTGCAGATGATACCCGAAAAGTACACATGATAACAGAGAACATCAATGCCTCTTGGGCAAACATTCATAAAAGGTATGGACTCCATTATTTCTAAAACTATTTGCTGACTTCCATGATGGTGTGGTGACCCTGGGTGGACAATGCAGATTTGCTTTCCCATCCTGCTAACCTGGGGCTTGCAAGGATCCAAGATGAGAAATGCCAACTAAACTCACATTCTTTCTGAAGTCCTCTTTTTTTGTTTTAAAGATGAGGGACCTGAAGACTGGTGAAATCAAATGACTTGCCCACAGTCAGAAAGGTAGTGACATAGCTGTGCAATTAGACAAACACAAAAGATGGATTTGTAGGTAAATGAGCCATTTATCAGTCTGCTTTGAGAACTCTACCCAAAGAAATATTGTTCTACTCCATCACGATGCATATTGCCCCATCTTTAATCTGACAAGGAAGTCATTTGGGGGTTCATGATGGAGTTACAGCTACTGATGGTGCCATCATTGTATTTCACTCTGCATACCCAATGTGAAAATGTGTGCAGTGTAACATGACTCATAATTTCATTTCCCATTATATACCTAGTGGCAATCAATGGCTCTTAGAGACACCATCTCCTCAAACTAGGTCCTCTCTCTTTATTATCCAGTCTTAACCCCTTGGGCTTTTCTTTCACTAGCATTATCCTAATTATATTAATAAAATTATAAACAAAAGCATGAATTATGTAACTAATTGTTAAATTAATTATATTAATAAAATTATAAACAAAAACATGAATTATGTAACTAATTGTTAAATGATTGTCCTTCACATTAGTCTAAACTCCCTAAGAACAAAGGCTATCTTTCTTATTTGACATATCCTGAACCAGGTGATCTAGTAGGGAGCTGGTAAACATTTGTGTTTTTCTAATTGAAGTGTAGCTGATGTACAGTATTATATTAGTTTCTGATAAACTACCTAGTAATTTGACATTTGTACATATTATGAAATGATCATTATGATAAGCCTAGTAACCATCTGTCCCCATACAAAGTTATTACAATGTTCTTGACCATATTCCTTGTACTGTATGTTATGTCCCTGTTGCTTATTTATTTTATAACTGGAGATTTATACCTCTTAATCCCCTGCACCTATTTCACCCCTTTACCTTCTCTTCCTGTCTGGCAACCACCCATTTGTTCTCTGGCTATATGAGTCTGTTTTCATTATGTTTTGCCTGTTTTTGTTTTGTTTTGTTTTAGATTCCACATATGAGATCATACAGTATTTGTCTTTGTCTAACTTATTCACTTAGCATGATACCCTCTAGATCCATCCATGTTGTCACAAATGGCAAGATTCTGCTATTGATAGCTGAGTAATTTTTCAACCTAGACAGCAGATTAAAAAGCAGAGACATTACTTTGCCAACAAAGGTCCATCTAGTCAAAGCTATGGTTTTTCCAGTGGTCATGTATGGATGTAAGAGTTGGACCATAAGGAAAGCTGAGCACTGAAGAACTGATGCTTTTGAACTGTGGTGTTAGAGAAGACTCTTGAGAGTCCCTTGGACTGCAAGGAGATCCAACCAGTCCATCCTAAAGGAAATCAGTCCTGGGTGTTCATTGGAAGGACTGATGCTAAAGCTGAAACTCCAGTACTTTGCCCACCTAATGCGAAGAACCGACTCATTTGAAAAGACCCTGATGCTGGGAGGGGTTAGGGGCAGGAGGAGAAGGGGATGATAGAGGATGAGATGGTTGGATGGCATCACCGCCTCAATGGACATGAGTTTGAGTAAACTCCGGGAGTTGGTGATGGACAGGGAGGCCTGGTGTGCTGCAGTCCATGGGTTCACAAAGAGTCAGACTGAGCGACTGAACTGCACTGAAATTGCATTTTTCACTGTCCCAAAAGAATCTGCGATTTGCCAAGATAATTTAACTCATGCCTCTAAAGTTCTTCCATGTTTCCTTCTCATATACATTCTACGAAAATTCATCCACTTGTGTAGTTTCAGTCTGCTGATGACTATCCATTTATACCATTTGCAGCTGAGAGTCATCTTTCAATTTCAGATCAACATATCCGATTTACTTCTTTTTATTGTGATGTCCCGTAGGAACTTCGAGCTTAATAGCCCCAAAGCTGAACTCATCTTTGTCCTCTTACAACCTCTTTTTCCAGGTGCAACCTGCTTCTCTTCCTGTTTCTCCAGGTCCCAGTGTCAGTGCCATTTCCTCCAGGAAGCCTTCCCTGACTACCAACCCCAAAGCCTATACTCTTTTGGCCCCCTGTTATTGTGCTTATCTCACTACACTGTCCTTAAGTGTATACTGGTCTTTGTTTCTAAGGAGAATGCTTACTCTGTGAGGGTATACACAGTGGCTGTTTATCAACTGTATTACATAGCGCTTAGCTTGACACACAGTATCTCCCCACAAAACATGTTTTGATTAAATAGGGAATTGAACAAACAAAAAAGAAATAACTGTGAATGTTCTGGTGTGCCAGTAACTCAACAAAGAAGAAAAATGTACCTGTTAGGATCACTTTCAGTTTCAAGTAACAGAAAACCCAAGTTCACTAGCTTACCTAATGGAGGTCTATTTCTGTCACTTAGGAGAAGTTCAGAATTAGGCAGGTGCTGACATGGGCACAGTAGCTCAGCAATGTCAGCCCCAAAGTCTCCTTGCTCTTCTTGCCATTTCGTTCAGAATATATGCATTCCAGCAGGAGGAAGGGGCAGCAGAAGGGGCACTGCTGGTGTCGAGAAAACACAGCTTTCCCAGGAACTTTTGAGTTAGAACTATGCCACCAAACCACCTCCGGTATCTAGGAACTGGGGTTGAGCCAGCCAATAGGGAATGTCTGCCATGAAGGGTATGAAAGGAAGAAACTGATCCACTGTCATGGTGGAGCTGGGCAGCATGAAATTCCCTGGAGAGACCACCAGTCAAATCCGAGTAAATACAGTACAGTCATGTAGGTCATGTGTTCATGCAAAATGCATGCTTGTAGGATTGTCATAGCAGTGGCCTATTTGGGTTTGGTGTTGGTTCTGGTCAGTGTGAAAGGGCACGAGAAGAGCTGGATTCTCTATTGGCTAATGATACCTTTACATGGGAAGCTCACGTTCTGTGTATGCTGTATGTGTCACCGGCACAGATTAAACCATATTTTACCCGACTCCATCTTCTTATATCTTATATCCTTATAGATTGTATGCTAGATAGTTGAAGAACAAGAAAACTCTTTATGTGATTTTTTGCATTTTGACCTTTTTTATCCAGTATCTCACCCAGCTAAACCCAGAAGTGAAGGAACATCACCAGCATCCCCTAGATTGGTGCTGTTCAGTAGGGTAGCCACTAGCCATAGGTGGCCATTTAAGTTCAAATGATTAAAATTAAATAAAATTAGAAATTCATTTCTTCCAGCTCATCAGCCACCTTTCATGTGCTCAGGAGCCACCAATAGTGAGTGGCTTCCCCATTGAACAGTGCAAAATTGAACATTTCCATCATCACAGAAAGTTTTATTGACTGTCCGGCTTTAGATCATCTTTGTTTCCATTTCCCCTATGCAGTATAGCATACATATATAACAACTGCATACCATATTACTTCAAAAAAAGTTTTTGGCATGTTTTGTAAATGAAAAGTATTTCCTTTCAAAGTAGTTCATGTTATTCCATTTCCTTGCTTGTACCTTCTCCTTCTGTTTGTCCACTTTCTAGAGCTGATGTTTAACATCTCAAAAACTACAACTCTCCCAGAATATAAACAGTTTGGCTTTTGCTGTTAATCCAATAAACATAATTTTAAAGGAAAAATTATTGATATTTGGGTTTAGGGGAAAAAGTATGTCATGACTTTGAAAAATATCTGTAACCAAGACTTCTTAGGTAGGAGAAATGTGTTGAAAACATCCTGATTACATCATTTCCCATGGTTCCAGTTTTACCACTGAACACTGATACATTGCCTGCACTGAAAATTTCCATCATATAGATAAATATATGCAAAAACTTTGTTAATTTGGAAGCCTATGTAAAGCAATAAAATCTTTACATCATTTAAAATTTTTGAATGTTAAATAAGGTACAAAAAGTATAACTCAGAAGAACTTTACTTTGGTATCATATACTGGAAAGCTATAGTTCCAGACATAATCAAAAGCAAAAACAAGATAATTTTGTTTTGTAGTTTAGTGTTCAATTTAAGTTTATTAATTGGTCAGAGGAATCCTCAAATTCTATACTGACTTTGATGGGACCTTTAATTACGATTTTATATAGAGAAGTACAAATAGCCACATGGACCTAAAATGACTTAATCTAGCATTCATGAATAGTTTTTAAAAAGCTGCTTCTCATGTAAATCCTGTACTTTAGCAATTCATAACAGAACATAGGTCATCATTGTGACATGTGTAGGAAAATATTTTGTTTCCCTGATCATATGCCGTATAGAGTCCATGTTAACGTATAAAGCCAGAAATATGGGCGTTTGCGAGTTCATTTCTTTCCCTTCAGTCTCTGTGAATAGATATGAATTGGTGAATAAGATAATATTAGATGTAATATTACATATTATTATGAGAAGCCTCTAAGGATTAGATTTCAAGGACTGCCATCTGGCTGATGACTTTATGATGACACTGTCATGAGATTTCATTTCCTTATTTCTATTCCAGGATCACTCTTTAAACAAGAAATGAGCATTAACTCTGAATTGTCTGTCTGCAGCTATAGGAGGACTTCTCCAGCTACCAATCAGCAAGGAGCAAACTCATCAAGTAGAGGGGCTGGTACTAATACCAGCAGGTTCAGCATGACTGGCAGTCCTTCACAAAAGCTCCCAGATACCTGAGAAATCTCTCTAGGTTCTAAGAAAGATTCAACATGTATTTGTGTGCATGTATAAGTGTGTATATGCATATTCATGAATATATATGCACATATACTATACCTAAAATAGTATCTCAGTATTCTCCTGTCCACTTTACTAACATGCTTCAAATGTTAATAATCACAATTAAAAGTTGGGAAGCTGAAGAATTATCATCTGTGTTCTTAATCTTTG